TGAGCCAATACAGACCTGTAATGATGTGCGAACATGATCGCAATTCTTTATGAACATCTAAGGGACTGAGTTTTCTTTTTATGGTACTCCCTCTTACGAGTGTAAATTTTTTTTTTTTTTTTTTTTTTTCTAATCATTAGTTGTATAATATTCTTTTGAATTTTGATTAACAGCTTCGCTATACTAAATTTTATTTTACATTTGGCTTACAATATTTTTCATTGTATGTCAAGATCTTAAGTGAAGCTATAAAAAATGTTCCTCTCGCTATCCAGTGATTACCTTTATGGTTCATTTGGACGTTGGGGAACTACATTTAAAATTATATGATTTTTGAATCAATTAAAATGTGACATATTCGAAATATTATGGCAAAGCTTGGGTTGTCATTCGGTTTGTATTTTTTGACAATGGTTTTCAAACAGTATATAATTTTAAATCAGGAATTTATTTTGTTGTTAATGATTCTTTTTTTAATCTACGGTCCCTCTGTTCAGTTATCAACATTCGACTTAGGTCGTTAACCGAGAGAGTAATGGTGTGCTAGCGTTTAATTATTATTATTATTATTTTTATTTTTTGTTGGTGGCATAAGTTCTAAAAAACTTTGGAACAAAAACAGTTTTAGAGAAATAGATGTGCAGATAGGAAAGTTTGAGAGAAAAAGATATGGAAAGTGGGTAAATTTGGTCTCTTCAGTTCACTGAATGGGCCTTCGGCAAGCCCTAAAAACAGCCGCTTGAGGCAAAGATAGGGAATATCAACAAGGGGAGCGAAAGTGGTTTAAGGTAGCGAAAAGTGAAATTAAATTTATCAGATATTAATATTCAGTTTGGATGAATGACAATTAATTGAAAGAAAACAAAGAGTTTTTGGGGGAGAGAGAAATGTGATCGGAAATTGGTGGCCATTGAAATTGGTGGTGAGGAATAATGCTGTGGAAGGGACGTAATTTAAATATTTTAAAATTTAAAAAAATATGAAAAATAAAAGTTTTTTTAAAATATGGAGATATTCAAGTTTAACTTCCAAAAAAATATTTAAAGAAGGCTCTCGGAATTTTATTTTTTATCATTAAAAAATAGCATTGAAATGTACTTTTATGACCAATCTTTATTATCTCAAAGTACTCAAAAGTTTTAAATAATATGAGATCATATTAAAATAGAAAATTATGTACAACTGAGTAATGTGCCATCTTAATTGGACGTCATATCTCAGAAATTCCGAATTAAAAATTAATTTATCATTTTTTTTATTTGTTGAATAATTTATCATATGTTGATAACCATATACAGCAAGATGCCAACAAAACAAAACATGGAAAACAGGCCAAGCCATGCGGGCAAAAAAAAAAAATGGTAATAATAGCATGACGTGCAAAAGCACTTTTATAAGGGTCCGTTTTAGATATAAATTTTTTTTGAAAGGTAAAAGTAAATGTATTTGGTTAATAAGAAAAAATTTCAACAAAATTGTGAGAAAATATTATTTTGTAAGTTTAGAAAGAATGAAAGTGAGAGGAAAATGATTGTAGTTCTCAAAACTACAATTTTAATTATAAGATTACTTTGTAGTTTTTAAATACTATCATATCTCCGGAATTATGAACAAAATTAAAATTTTAAGTTCAAAGATAAATTAATGGACATTATAGTATTTGTCTTTATGTTTAATAATTAGATATATGTGATTATAGGTACAAGTTTAATTAATAAAAATTTTTGATTAGAAAATTCTTGAGGATAAAAGGTTGAAGTTAATATATATATTTTTAGTCATAGAAAAACAAAAAAAAAACTTTAGTCTAATAGAAATAAAATACAATATACGTAGAGTTAAAACTAAATTAATTTGGTATATCTAATATAGAGTTAAAATTAAATAAGTTTGGTACATTTCAGTAATTGAGTCCTAAAGTCATGAAAAGTCTATGTATAAAAATATATATATACGAATTAAATTATAATAAAAAAAACTTGTATATGTAAAAACACGAACCTAGTTTTTTACTCAACACTTTGTTACTAAATACTCAGATTTATATATATATATGTATATATATATATATCACTCTCAATCATTATTAATTGTGGAAGAAAAAAATAAAATAAAATAAAATAAAATTTTAATTTTGATATAAAACTATATACAATTAAATTAGTATTTACTTGATTTTATAAACAATTTACAAAAGAATGAAAACTCACTTGTATGGAAGTTTGTGGAGAAAGTGAGGAGGGTGACATTAGGGATAGCAACGGGGCGGATTTAGAGCGAGTTTCCCTAAATCCCGCCCCGCCCCTTTTAATTTTTATCAAGTCCATGCCTGCCCCGAGACTCGTGACAGATTGAATTTTCATGTCCAGCCCCTCCCCGTTGGGAAATACTGTGCCCCCGTGCCCGCCCCCCTCCCCGTTGGGAAATACTGTGCCCCCGTGCCCGCCCCGCTAATAAATTTTTTTCTCTCACTTTTGGAACTTAAACTCCAAAAGTGAGTTTTCAAAAGCCTGGAAATGGCATAACATAAATGAAATTATGTATCCCAACAAAAATAAAAAAATAACATGCACATAACATAATTCAGAGAACATAATAAACAAAAATAAAAGTTTAATACAACCAAATCACAAGAAGTTCTAAGCTCCAACTTTCACCATAACCAAAACAAAAGCAAATTTAATACCAAGTTTACATCTCAAATTAGGATTGTAAGAGATGGGTAACTGGGTAAGAGTTATTAATATTATATATATATATATATATATATATATATATATATATATATATATATTAAATATAGTTATATGCTTGCGGGGCAAGCAAGACGAGGCGGGGCTTCTAGGATATGTATACTGAACCCTTACCAGTCCCGTGACTTGCGACGGGTACAAAATTTGTATCCATGCCCGCCCTAACAGTATAAAAAGTCTTCTTATATCCGTTATTAACAGGGCGGGACGAGACGGGCCCCGGCGGGGCGGTAAAAATTGACATCCCTAGGTGACATTGGCATAATAGGAAACTAAGATGTGAAGGCACCACTTTCACGGGAAAGTAAAATTTTCCCGTGTTTTATGTCAGAAAAATTTTGAGGAAAATTAAGCAGCTGCAAGAAAATTAATTTCCTGAAAAATTTCTCTTTCACGCTAACCAAACTCCTAAAAAAGTTAAATATTTTCCTTTTCTTTTCTTTTCTATCTACTTCATGCTAACCAAACAAATCCTAAATCACGAAGGCGGAAAAAGAACTTTCAAGTTACGCGAGCTAGTTTGAGATTGTTGTTAGAATGTTAAAAGCACTTTTTAATTTAGAGGTGTTATAAAAGTGCTGTTAAGCGTTTGATGATACATTGTATAAAACACTTTTTATACTTGAATCACTTTTAAATTTGTTTGGTAATAATATTACGTAAAGCACTTTTATTAATAATTTTACTATATTACCTTTACACTAAACATATACTAATTCCCTAATATTAAATATTATAAAATTTCATTGAGTTCAATAATTTATAAAAATCAACTTATTGAGTTGAAAACGGCATGCGAAAAAAAAAAAAAAAAAAACCAATAATTTATGGTGGGTTATAACTGGTGCAAAAATGGTTTTAATTTCAATTTTTTTTACCCAATAAAATAAAAATTGAGGTTTGTAGTGTAAAAAAAGGAAGAAAAATATTTGTAATAATTCTATATTTTAGAAAAGGACAAAATTTAATAATAATAAAAAAATTGTGCCAAAATAATTTTTTTTCTCTTAAAGTTAAAGCACTGCCAAATTTGTGAGAGAGATCAATTTAACAATAACTATGTCGGCCAATAAATTACTTTTCAAAAAAAAAAAAAAGAAAAGAAAAGATAGCAAACAAAAGAGAGAAAAAACTAACTAAAAAAAATCGTGAGATAAAACCATTTTTGAGAAAAAACTAACTAAAAAAAAAATCGAGAGATAAGAAGGAGAAGAGAGAGAAACGAGGAGAGAAAAAAGGGGGGAAAAGAAGATAAAACAAAGGGGGGAAAAAGGAAAGAGAGAAACGAGGAGAGCAAAAAGGAATAATTTAATTTTAGGCGGTTTAATGTGCTTGGGTATAAATTGCCACTCTTAATATTGGGATATTGCTGAATCTAAAAACCAGTACTCTTAAATAATTTAGACGAATTTAAAAGCTAGTATTCTTAAATAATTTAGAATGATCTAAAATGTTATATCAAGTTGCATGAGAAATAATATAATCAATTATAGGATTTGGAAATAAATTAACATAAAATAAAAAGTTAATTTTTGAAAGGGTCATACCTTAAGCGCTCCCTATAATGTTAGGTTCAAATTCCATTATTACTAATCTCCTAACTATTAACTCTCTTTGATAGGTCAAAAATAAAAAAAATTTATGAGAGAAACTTGATTGAGTAAGATAATAATAAAACTTTAATTAATTTATAATTGCTATATTTAAGTTATACACATCAAAATATAATTATATTATATATGGTACCGTCACTCTTTGTGGCTATATTTTAAAGAAAAAATAGCAGGCCAAAACTGTATGTGTGTTTTTTTAATTATAGCGTAAGATGTGCTACGTATTAGTCGAGTGTTCTAGATGTAATACTACGTAAATAAATAAATGTATTGTACATGAATTGTCATGAAGTATGAGTATGGACCAGATATCTTTGTAAAAGAGTATGCTCTAATAAAAAACTGCTTAAAATTTATTCAATCCCAACCAAGAAATATTCTTAATTAACTTAATTGGCTTCAAGTTATAAAAGAAATTTAAATTTGAAATATAACACCACAGTTTAAAAGTGCCATATTCTTTTATTTTCGAAAGAGAGGAAGTAGTATATTTTCATTACTAAATAGAAATTGATTTTAATAATTCCTCATTATTACTTTATTTTTTATGAAGAGAAAACCTATCTGATGGACCCATCATGCGTGATCTTGATGCTTTTTAGCCGACTCAACTCTTTATAAATATATAGTAGAACTTTCCAAGTCATCACATACAAATCTCCTTTTCGCTCTCGATCTGAACACTTATATAGTCTCTCTCTAGAAATCACAGAGGCAAATCTCACTCTGTAACAAAATCAAACTCTACACAATGGCCGATCGGGAGCACGAGCACAGAGAAGAGGAAGAAGCCGCCACCGGTGAAGACGAAGACACCGGAGCACCAGTGGACCCGATCATCAAGCTCGAACAGGTCTCCGTCACCACCGGTGAAGAAGATGAGGACTCCATCCTTGATCTGTATTCTCTAATTCCTTAAATCTCCTGATCAATTCCTAGGGATTTAGTGCGATCTGCTTAAATACCCTTAAATTCTAGGGTTTATGAACCGACTTGTTTCCCTTTTGAGAAATTTTCAGGAAATCGAAGCTTTATCGGTTCGATAAGGAAGGCAAGCAATGGAAGGAGAGAGGCGCTGGTACTGTGAAACTCTTGAAGCACAAAGAATCGGGCAAGGTTCGGCTGGTTATGCGGCAATCAAAGACTCTCAAGATCTGCGCTAACCATCTCGGTATTATGTTTATTTTTGTATCTCAGTTTTGTCTATTGTTCTTTGTTTCTGATATTAAATTTACTGTTTTATGTGTCTATCTATTATTTTTGCAGTTCTTCCTACCATGTCGGTTCAGGAACATGCCGGAAACGATAAGTCTTGTGTCTGGCATGCGGCTGATTTTGCTGATGGTGAATTGAAGGATGAGTACTTTTGCATTCGATTTGGATCAGTCGAGAGTAAGTATACGTTCATTTGATGCAATGATTTTTAGCGTTTTCTATTACTTGGTCGAGTAGGATATGCAGATGATATAATAATATTGAAGGAGTTGTTATATGTTGGTGAATTTGCTTGTTTTGATAGTAAACTGAGCAGTTTATGATTGAAATTTGGTGTAGTCTAACCATTACCAATGCTGAATTTTAATTGGTGTATCTATGTGAGATGTGAATTGAAAACTAGATGTGGTAAACCAAAAAAGTGAAACCTAGAATTGTACATGCCCAGTCGAGATATGATATTATTACATCGCAATGCCTGAGGACAGGATCTATTAAACTGTCTATAACTATCCATTGTGCTATATATGGTCAAAGATTTATATGCAGCACACTGCCAACAATATAATGGATGAATATATGATCAAATATTAATGTTTTTCATTGAGGGGGCCACCCACACAAAGAAGTCATTAAATGGTCCATGGTTCACACCCTGCTAAGAATTTACTCTTTTATTTTCTTTTTGTTTTTTACTCCCTCTCTCCCATATTATAAGTTTAAGGGTATTTTATGGAAAGATGTGAAATGTGTTGTTTAAACTTAGAAAGTGGACAAGTATTTTGGGACAATCCAAAATGGAAAGCTGGACAACTAAATTGGGATGGAGGGAGTAACTTTTTTTGCTATGTTATATGGACTCACTTATCAAAAAAAATTGTTATATGGACTCTTAAAAGAAAGTAAAGTTCTTGCATGAGACCTACAATACCCGGGCATGGATGTGGGATATGTGGCTGATGCTTTGGTTGGAGAAACACCTGAAAGATACATCCGATAATTTATTTATTTTTACATTATTATTTTAAAATGAGTGAAATGCATATATGAAGGATTATGTTACACAAACATTTTATTTTACTTTAAAAAATAAAAAAATAATAAAAATGTTAAATAATATGAACATTTAGTATTGTCCACCCGTCTTTCTATTTGAAAATTTGGCACATCTGATGAGTGGATGCATGCATGTATTTGGTTTCAGGTAACATGATTTTTATTTTTATTTTATTTTATAACAGCTTGCTCTTGAATCTGTTCTTGGAAATAAGTAATAATAGCAATCCAATTGTTGATTATAGTTGAGGTAGATTTCGTATTGAAGATTTGAAAATCAACAATTGAGTGATATGGAACTATTGTTTTCAAATGATGCTCCTCTTTTCTTCTTCTTCTTCCCCCTCCCCCCTTTCTCTCTGTATAAAGAGGCATGATACTTATCAAAAAAAAATAATAATAAAACTAAGAGGCATGATGATGATCTCCTTTTGTAAAATAATATGTAGATGACTCAATTGTGTTTTTTATGGAGTCAAATCACTCTGGTCTTAATTACCTCCGGTATGTGGTGAACATATTATATTCTTTGTTAAATGTCGTATTTTCTCTAGTATTATCTCATCTCTTTCAATCAGGCGTTAATAGTGATTAAGAATTTGGTGTGAGAGCTTGAGCTTCAGATTGACTTGGATTTGCTTCAAAATTGAATATAGGACTTTTTCTTAATATTTTTCATATTTGAAGAGGTTTTAGGAATTTGATTGTGAGTTATTGATTCGAATTTTATGCAACACAGAAACTTCTACAAGGGAGTATCGGGTATCCCTATACTATTTGTATCAGATATCGACTCTCCTTGGAGACTTGGAGTACCTGTCTGATAATTCTATAAAAATCCATAATTGTAAATAAAATGCAAAATTTCAAGTAGAATCTCATAAAATATTTTTTAGGAGTACTTTGACTCTTCTAGTAGAAGAATAAGGATGAATGAGAATATATCATGCACACTAAGTCTTTGTCCATGCGACATAAATATTGGTTTTCTCACATGATTTAATATTTTAACTTAGAAATACAATATTATATTTTTAGGGGTACTCTGGGCCCATGTCTGATGCATTTTGAACATTAAAATGCAAAATTTCAAGTAGAATCTCATAGAATAATTTTTAGGAGTTCTTGTGACTCTTCTGGTAGAAGAAAAAGGATCAATGAGAATATATCATGTACACAAAGTCCATGTCCATGCAACTGAAATTAGGATGTGGGTCTTGGTGATTTAATATTATAACTTAGAAATACAATATTAGATAGATGTGGGTCTTGGTGCTGATTAGGATAACGGAGGAGTTATTCTGAATGTAACTGAAATTAAATGGGAAATGGATCTTAGTTGGAAACTTAGTTGAGTGCAACAAGGAAAGGATGGCAGTCAATGATTTCTTGTGGTTTCAAGGGAAAATTCATGTTCCTCGAATTGCTCTGTTTAGTGTACTAATGGAGGAGGCAGCTTGGTAGGTCTTGTGTCATAAATGTGGGGAAATGGCATCTTTATAAAGCATTGAGGTTCGTATGACCTTCGGGTAAAGATCCTATGTAAGAAGGCTTATTTCTAAGACCACATAGATAGTACCACTTTTGGAATGTTCATTAAATGTGATGTGGTACAATTTAGGCGTGGTGGTTGGGCTCATTAAATGTGATAATATAGGTTGAGGAATTCAATTTCCTTGATGAAATATGAGTTCTAGTCTCCATGCTTCATATTCCCTAGGATCCCATTGCACTTCATTTACTTAATAGACACCATTCCCAAGTTTTGCTCCTAACTTGAGTTGTAGAACCAAGTTAGTGATGTGAGACAGGCCTATTGAGAAGGCTATAAGTAAGACTTCTTCGAAGTTCTAGATGCGAGGTGCCTATAGATGAAGCTACGAGGCTTGTCCATTAGTAGGTCCTCGGAGTGAAGACTGACGTGTGCATGTGGTAAAGGGTCTAACGCTTATTCAGGTTAAATTATGCCGACTGCCCATTAAATGGGAACAGTATGATGTTGCCTGTGGAGAATGCCAGGGCCCTTTTTAAAATATTTTCCTCATATAAGAACTTCATGCTTTTCTCGAGATTCTTGGGTGTTAATTCCTCAGATAGGGGAACTTTAGGACCCACCTGTTGATGTCAATTCCACTTATCTACAATAGATTAAAAAAAGTACTTGTTTTTCATAATTTGTCTTCTTATAAAGGAATTTTAGTCTTAATGTATGTATGTATATATATATAAAGTAATGTTGGTACTTATCAAAAAATATAAAGGAATTTTAGTCTTAATATATGTATATATATAAAGCAATGTTGGTACTTATAAAAAAAAAAAGGGTTAAGTGCATTAAACCCCCCCTGAACTTTCTTCTCTCTCTCACAAAACCCCTCTGAGCTATCCAAAAGACATTTAACCCCCTAAACTATTTCATTTGTTGCAAAAGGGTTAGTTGGCCGCCAAAAATCTAACTTCTAATGAACGCACGTGACACACGTGATCAGCGAAAATTTAGAAAGACAAAAATAACCTTATGCCTAAACACAGCCTTATGCCCATCTATCACTGTTCATTTTCTTAAACCACAGAGCTTAGACAATATTTTGCGGTGACATTCATATACATAATGAGCGCTCAAACCGAAGAGAACGAAACACTCTATTCTTGATTATATCTGGGGCAACTTTCCATCTCTGTCTCGTTCTCGTTCTCGTCTCTATCTCTCTCCGATTTGATGACCAATCGATGTGGATTCTTCGATCAGGCCATGGATTTTATGATCACAACCTGTCTTCGACAACTAGGTCTTAATTCATCGGTGGATAGTTTCATCCGATACCGCTGGTCTTCGCCAGATCGGAAGTCGTTTATCGTGAAGCGGACTAGCTAAATCTCTCTCGCCGGTCTGCAGCTGCTTACTCCAGGAAGCCACACAACTCACGCCACTTGCAGGTTCACGCGCAGCTGCGCCCATTGATTCCGATCATCGGCATTGTACTCACCATCACCGAAAAAGTAACCATCATCATCGGTTATCATAGCGCTCTTTCACGCGCCGTTCAACTTGTCACGTGCAGCTACGCCCAATCGGCGTCGCTGAAAGCTTTTTCTTCGTCGTCTGTCTCGCCTTTATCGTTCTGGTACATGATTTGGGAAAGGGGCAAATTATATGTTGTATATTAACAGAACTCTTCAGATAAACTAACAAAACACAAATAATTATATTTGGGTACATCTCTCACACTCTCGTCTCTTGCTCTCTGATTTGACCTCTTTAGACAAATTGACCGAGAAGATACATCTTCTCTAAAAAATTGTGTGTAATTTTGAATGAGTATACTTTTATTTTTTATTCCGGTGAATTGCACCTCTGCTAGCTTTTGGATTATTCACGAAGAAGAAGATCTGCCCATGAATACTCATCAGCCATTGCTCGAACTGTGCGATTTTATTCTTCATATAATCCATGTTTAGAAATCCACCTGGATATGAGCCTAGGGTTTCATTAGATGCTTTATCTATACTTCCTCTTTTTCGAACCTTTGTAAAATTATACTTGTGAACTTTGCATTAAGCTTTTCCCCATTTGGGGAAGACCAGCCATGACCCAGTTCAGTCCGGCGAGCAGCACCCCAACTCCGACGAGTTTCAGTTCTGTATCCATCTTCTTTGCGTCACAACTAGCAAAAACGTCATTGTCAAAATAAGGGGTAAATGGTAATTTCCTTTTCAGTTAACGCTTCCTTGACGGGTTGTCACAAAATGAACAAAATAATAGTTCAGGGGGCTTTACTTGTTTCAGGGGGGGTTTCTTGCAATTTGGTCATAGTTTGAGGGGGTTTAATGCAAGTAACCCAAAAAAATATAAAGAAATGTTGGTCATATGTATATAACATGACTAACAATTAATATATCAAGTTTATACATATATACTTATATATTGTGATTTTTCCATGAATACATAAATACAACTTATACATACATACATACTATCAAGTCCTTGTTGTATCTATATCATTTTTTTTTAAGAATCTTTCATATTGCCATTTCTATAGTGCAACTTGTATTTGTGTACATGCTTCATAGTTCGAATTCAAATTCAGCTGCGAGTGCGTTTTAGCTTTTCAGTTTCATTGTTCTCCATCATTACTTCTGCTGTATGAATAAAGCAGAAACAGATCTCAGAATCGCAACTTGCATCCCGAGATATGCATGATATGTTATGATATGTATTTCGTGGTATCACTTTCATTATTCAGGGACTGCTCAGAGTTCAGCAGATATGCAGTTCTAGTTCAGGGAACTTCAATTATCAACTTGGTGCTAATAAATGATGACTAAAACCTATGTGCATTTGAAAGTTGTCATTTAAGGTTACATTTTTGTCCCAACTGTACAAGGCATTTTGTTGTGCTGTAGTGGCTTGCAGATTGTGAATGGGTTATCTCTAACCTTGTCTTTTCGACAGTAGTGTACATTTTACAATATTTGATGGTGTTAAGAGGTTCATATATATTGTTTGGTCTTGGGATTATGAATGTTTCTCTCTAATTTTATTTTGCGTCTTTTCTTAAGATTGCAAAACCTTCATGGAGATGTTTCAAGAGGTTGCTGAATCCCAAAGTACAAAGGATGAAAACAAAGATGCATCTGCTGCTGCTGGTCTGCTTGATAAGCTAAGTGTTGAAGATAAGAAATCTGATGAAAAAGCCAAGGAAGAGGTGCCTGTTGCGGCCAAGGAGGGTAAGGAATCTGATGAAAAAGCCAAGGAAGAGGTGCCTGTTGCAGCCAAGGAGGATAAGGAATCTGAAAGTGTGTCTGTAAAAGCAGATGCAGTGTGAGGAGGAAGAGGAGTGTGTTTCCTTGGGGACGATGCGTTAATTCTGTTATCATATTGATATTACCATGCATCCCTATCAACTTAACGAGGTTGATTTTCTGAGCTCATCTGCTACACAGGATTGTCTTGGTTTATTGAGTCTGGTTAGATGCCAATGGATTGTGTTTTTTACGGGTGGGGAATGGTTTGGTTTTGTTGGTTCGTCTTTGGAGTCTTGGTTAACTTTTGATCTTATGTTGGTCGGGTTTGATATCAAGGTTGTGTGTGTCTAGTTCTTGTATTATCAGAGGGTATTTCTGGGTTTCTTGAACAGTACATATTCGTGTTGCTGGGTTTCATGAATAGTACATATTCACCTGGTGTAAGGTACCAGTGAAGTTTGTACTTCTGAGGGCGCAGAGCACCAAAAAATGCACGCGGTAGAAACAGTTTTTGTTGAACTCTGGTTTTTGATTTGCGGCTTATTACATTGTTATTATTAATTATTAAATTTGGGTTGCTTTCTCTTTTGGGTCCTTCCAACCATTCTTGAGTCAAGAACGAGTACAATGGTCAAAATTTGGTCGAAGTGGGGCCCTGTTTTGTGTCAAGGTTTAGTGGTGTTTTTATTTTATTTTATTTTATTTGTGGGTGTCACATGTTGTTACTAGGTTTTCATGTAATCCTTGAGGGTGCACTGCATCCAAAGTGCAACTCTATACCAGAGTTTAGTGTTGCTTGGGTTGCAAGTTAGGTTAGTTTAACCCAGCACAGTTCTAACCCAATCTCAACTCGAATCGGGTTGGATTGGGTCAGTTCGAATTATACCTAACATAGGTTATGGTAAAACTCAGTTTGAATATTTTTGGGCCGGGCTGGACGGGTTGATTGTTTTTTTTTAAATAAATTTTTTTTTCAAAAATTTATATATATATTATATATAATTGGTTATATTATTATTAAAAAACAAAATTTTTTTGGGGCAAATCATTTCAACCTCCCGAATCGCCTACAGGTTTCATTCTCAACTCTCTCTCTCTCTCCAAGTGCAATCTACAAGAATCAGAAGTTCATAACTCATATATTTCAGAATCAAAAGTTCAAAACCCATATCGGTATATCATTTCAGATTGTTCAAAAAATCAAAACCCATATCTTTTAGTTTCGATCAGTCGCTGTTCCAGTTCGGGTTCGCTGTTCGCAAGCTTCAGCCGCTGTCTCTCAACTCTCAAGCTTGCCCCCTTCTCTCTCTTTGCAATTGCTAACTTGTATGTATGGGTTTTGTTTCAATTTTTGGAAGTGACGGCGGTGGCGGCGGATCAGCGGCTGAGGAGGGACGACAGCTTGACGGATCAGCGACTGAGGGCGAGGGACGACGGCGGGAGGGAGAGAAAGAGAGTAAAAGAAGAGAGAGGAGAGAGGAGAGAGGAGAATTTTTTTAAAAAAATTTTGGGTTTTGGGTTGGGTTTGGGTTGAGCCCGAGTCTAACCCGAATATGTCTTAGTTTCGACAAAACCTAACCCTAACATGAGCCCGATTTGTGAATTGTATATCTAAGTTTCAAAATTTCTGAGTTGGGGTTGGGCTGGGCTGGGTTGGGTTAGCCCACCCAAGTTGCAGCGTAATTGTTGCGATGTGATCATAGATATGTGGCTTGGTGGATTCTCTCATTGTTTTTCTTCTCCTCTTTTGTGTGACAATCATCTCATCTTCTCCTATGTTATGAACCTCCCTACTTGTGTGGCTGGTTGTGCGTATGAGTATGATTCTAAAACAATCGTCTTTTCATTGATTGTGTTATAGATTAATTAAATCTTTTCGTCTAGAACACTCGAATTATACAATAGAGATGATCTGGATTCTGGACTAAGTTAGCTAACAAGAATTAATTTTGATTTGCACTGGTTTATTCAGTTGCACAAATCCAAATATATGACGTATACCAGAAGGCATGTCATAGTAGATTTATTATAGCAAAGAGTTTGTGTCTATTCTTCGAATGAGGTTGTCCCGTCACTGTTTTTAGGCATGGAACGAGGTAGTGCTAACTGGAGGTAGCCGCCTTTCTTTTATTTCTATTTACTACACACATTTTTAATAATTACTGTGAAATACCCTCATGCTGGGAAGTCTCAAGAAATTTCATAAATGTATTGAATGAACACGTAATCCATTATACTTGAGTTTGCATAATATTTATTACAGTTCAAAATATATTTCTTTTACGCAAAGTCACTCTTTTAACGTACATTCCTCATTTTGTTACTGCTACTCTATGTACACATGGTTATAGCAGATACCTCGATAGTCAAGTAGGTTAGTACCTTCGGTTAAATTTGAAGTGTTAAATTTCTGACTCTTTGCATTTACTAATCTAACTCTTAACACTTTTTGTCTTTAAAAAAAAAAAAAAATGGCTGTATGCCACACTCCTTATGTGAGAGGTTTCCACAACTACTTCAACTTTTCTAATTGGGGTTTGATTATATATATATATATATATATATATATATATATATATGTAGGGTCATAAATTTAAATCTAAGGAAAAAGAAAAGAAGGAAGGTGAGAAATTGTGTTTAGTATGAAGTGTTGGAACTTGGAAGGAGAACAAAAGAGAAAGAATGATCGAGAAAGATACATAAGACTTGAATAGTAGCTTTTTTGGGATCAAATGGAATAAAAAACTAATATATTAAATTAAATTTTGTTAATATTAAATTTGTCCTTATTTTTATAAAAAATAAAATTTATGAAAAATGGTATGATTGCAAATTCATTAAAATAATTTCTTTTTATTTTTTTTTTCTTAAACATAATTACTATTATTTCTTTTCTTTTTATTTACTAATCAACCAACACGATTTATAGTTAACACTATACCTTTATTTTTTAATTTTTATTAAATAATGTTGTTATTTCTTTTATTTTTAACTGCACCAGATTAAAGGTGGTATATATACGAGTTTGCTTTGGGCTTAAGCTTTAAGGGGCCAAAAGGTGAAGGGTCCAGAGATAGATATAGGGAAGCCCACCATGGATGCACGTGTAAAAGCAAATAAATGCCTTATCCAAACTTTGACAATTTGAAGAGGGGAGTAGAGTTGAATTTCAGGAGGAGGAAATAATATTATTATTATACTTAAATTTTGAGTCACAATTTTTTAAGTGAATGTAATATGAGACGGAAATAGTAGTAACATTTTTATTCCAATAGCCGAATTGACCAGTATGTACTGATTTGATGAAATAGAGAAGATATTATTAAGTATTAAGCGTGTGATACAGAAAGCACAACAGACAAGTCCATCAATTTCCTTTTTATACCTTTTTTTCCATCTTTGATATTTCTTATACACTGTATTACTAACAATTATTATTATTCATTGTACAGTTGGAATCCAATGATTTATAACATAAACATAAGAGAAAATAAACAAAGAGGGTGGGTATTCTTTTTGGTTGTTACATATCTTATTAATTCTCTATTACACATATGGCACAATAATTCAGCCACTTTGATGTCTGATAGGTTTGGAACCCATGACATGCACGCACTTCGGAAGTGGCATTATGAGCATGACTTTTGTAACAACACTTTGTGAGTTATGACTTATGGTCCCGCCACTTGTTCAATTAGATAATCTTCTTTACCTTGGCCCAATGACAGACAATGGGCAGAGTGATTGGATACCCTAGTCGTTATATACAGTATTATTAGGGGTGGTAAAGGAACGGGTTGGGTCAGGTCTGGACAAGGTCAAATATGAACTGATTAAAAATGGATTGTAGTTCATATTTAATCTGTTTGTAATGAGTTAAATATGGGTTAGGTCAACTCGTAAGACCCAATGACCTATTTTCATCAATTTATTCTTTCTTTTTTTCAAAAAAATATATATATATATATATATTTTACTATTAGTTCCATCTTGTTTTACTAAAAATTAGGGAAAAATTTATTTTAATTGCTATCGATTGAAGGTAAGTAATAAGTTTACAAAATTCATTTAGTACATATATATTCTTCAATATATTTTTTTTAAAAATTGTACTTTTATATTATTTTATGAATTTCAACTTTCAACTCATATGAATTTAAGTTAAACAGTGAACTCTTAATATATATATATATATATATATATTTCTTTCATATGGTAAAATTTATATTAAAGTAGAAGAGAAGCAAATGATGTAAAAATGCCCAAGTTGAAAGCAAAATGTCCTGTCCAACCCACTAAATACTTGTCAGGGCCAAAATACAAAAAAACAAGACTGTGTATACATATGATCAGGCCCTACATAATTTTTTTTGGTCAAAATATATATATATGTGTATATCCCAATGATTGGCATTTTGTAGAGATATAATTTGTCAAAAAGAGATTTTTTTAAAGTTAAACAGTGAAAGTTCATGTGCATCACTCTTTTCATAATAATGTATTACTATTTTTTATAAAAGATATACACATATATATTTATATAAATAATAAAAAAATAATCTCAAACTCAACAATATTTATCAACTTGTTTTAAAGAGGATAAGTGAAGGAAAGAGAAGAAATTTCTAGAGAGAGAGAGAATTGATGAGAGACAAATTTAGAGAGAGAGAAAAATGAGGTGAGTGCAATATAAAATAGATGTGTGTTGTGTGTCTATTTTGTGATGGGTGAAATATGGGTTGAATATGGGCTATATTCAACCCATATTGACCCTCAAATTAAGTGTTTAAAAATTATCCAAGTCATTTTTGACCCACTTTAAATATGGTTCACCCAAAATCATTAAAATATAGGTGGATATGGACGGGTTGGTGGGTTGTGACCCATTTTGCCACCCCTAAGTATTATTACTCAAGAATGAAACACCCTCCTTATAGTCTGAGTCTGTTCCGAATTCGATATTTTATGATCAGAGAGGTAAATTTGGGTTTTTAAAATTTTAAGAGGTTTGCGTAAGTACAACAAATACCCTTTTGTGGTCCAAATTGAACTTTATTATGGCTCATCACTAAAGATTAAGACAGCCATCCGTGTTGTACGAAATGTTAGGCGATCGGCTAATGATGCCACTTGCCTTTTCACATCTTTCACTTGAAATTTTGTTTGAATTCCTAAAGTGTTAGGCGATCGGCTAATGATGCCACTTACCTCTTTCATTTGAAATTTTGTTTGAATTCCTGAAGTGTTATTTATTTCATGCAATGTTGTAATTTATGATTGGTTGCCAATGGAGAGTGGTCCCGGAGTAATTATGACTATTACGACTTCGATCCGTATCAAACAATAAAAATGGTAGTTGAATGAATTAATCCAGAGAGTTAATAACCCATAAATTCTTATTGGATAGTATTTGGGTTGAAGTAGTTGCACTTGCACAGTTGTAATTACACATCTGTAACAACTTTATTGTCACACAATAAAGTTAAAATGAACTCATTTTGATTTTTTTTTATTGTTTTATTTTTAATAATATTTTATATTTACAATTAAAGGTGATATGTATGTCACATATATGGTTGGGAT